TAGACTACTGTTTCTCTCTGTAGGTCGAATCCGGAATATATATTCCATTTGACATTGAAACTGATACAGCACTGACCGTGGCAACCGAAATGGGTGCAGAGCTGGATATAACTGACCAGGATGTCACGAAAATAGCAGACATGATTGATGGGGAGATTGCGTCATTGGTACGTGAATGGAGGCCAGGGCCTGGAATCGAGGAAACACCTCGTTTTGCGAATCAAACCTTCTGTCACAACTGTGCTTCCAACCGAACTTCTAACGGTTCCCTAATGGATTTTCTGTCCAATAATCCAGGAACCAAGAACTTACAGCTCCTTCAATGTTGTAGAAACGGATGTGCTTCAATGCATGGCCGTTTTGAGGAGATTACTTTCCAAGTTGATGAATCGGAGGATCATGTGGCAGAGAATGCAAAAGCTTTGTCAATCCAACCAGATTGCTTGCCTTATGAGGAAATCTGGGATCAGCAGGAAAGCCGGGAACTTAGTTCAGTGGACTCTGGACAGAACCATTCTGACGAAGAATATGAAAAGTTGGAAAGATCCGAATTAGTTAATGATGAGAAAGAGATACCAATGCTGAGCAAAATCAAAACCAATTCAAGAGATTCAATCAGGCACTTGACAGGTTCGCGATCATTCTCAGCTGCTCCTTCATTATATTGTGATCCCTCGAACGATCATGATAATGAAGTCCAGCATGAGTTGCGTTGGCTCAAAGCAAAGTATCAGATGGAACTGAGAGAACTGAAAGATCAGCAACTAGGACTCGTGTCGAAATCCTCAACTTGGAGCAATAATGAAAACAAGACAAGTTATTACTCGGTGCCTGACACATTGCAAGGAGGCAGTAATGTGGAGCTTTTTGGTTCGAAATGCCAGTGCAACGAGAATAGTAGCTGCCCCGGTTCGGAAACCCTAAGGGTCCGAAATTGTGAGGCGTTTCCGGAGTCTCCAAGAACAGAGTATATGGTTACTGCCAAGAGTTTCTTCACTGGGTCATTGCTTCCAAACTCACTTCACAGAACAACATCCCTCCCAGTTGATGCTGTTGATATATAAGTTTATATTATATTTAGGGATCTCCTTGATTCTTTTGAGCATTCCTTACCTTTATAGAGGCTGTAAAATTATCAGTTCCAACTCCTTTTTGATATGAGGCAATATCAGAATCGTACTTCAAATATACTCTATTTACTTTCATCATCTCTTCTCTCTTTCTCTCAAAATTTCACTAGATTGAGAGTTAATGTTTAAAAGATTTGGAAGTTTTCTTAGGAAACAAATCATGATGAACTAAAATAAAAGATATGGATTCTTAGTTTGTTGTGACACTCCAATTAAGGTTATCGTGAAATATACCTAATAATTCGTTAGAATAATATTTAACTTAATAACGGTAGTCTCACAAATAAACAAACTAATGATTAAGTTTTAGGTTCTATTGAACTCGTAATTTGTATATGATTATGAAATATAACGGTACGATCATGAATTCGTTGACACCCTGATTAAGATCGTCATGACTCGTTAAGATAAAATCTAACTTGATAACGGTAGTCCCGCTAACAAACAAATCAATGAATTAAGTTTTAAATTCAACTGAATTTATAACGTGTAAACACAATATAAAAATTAAAAGATACTGGCTATAACGAAATCTTGTTAGGATAAAGTCTAACTTGATTACGGTAGTTCTACTAATAAACAAATCAATGAGTTAAGTTTTAGATTCAACTGAATTTATAACGTATAAATAAAATATAAAAATTAAAAGATACTGACTATAACAAAATCTTATTAGAATAAAGTCTAACTTGATAACGGTAGTCCCACTAACAAACAAATCAATGAGTTAAGCTTTAAATTCAACTGAATTTATAACGTGTAAACAAAATATAAAAATTAAAAGATACTGGTTATAACGAAATACACATTATGATTCGTTTGGACGAAATCTAACTTGATAACGGTAGTTACACTAATAAATAAACTAATGAGTTAAATTACTGGTTCCAATAAACTCGTGACCTATAAACAAAGTATAAAAACTATAAAAAAAAATTAGTCATTACGAGATATATATCATAACTCGCTGGTGTGAAATTTAACTTGATAACGTTAGTTTCATTAACAAATAAATTAATAAATTAAGTTCTAAAAAAACTGATTATCATGAAATATACACCAAGACTCGTTAAAACGAAATTTATCAGCAATTCTACTAATAACAAAATTTGATAACGATAGTTCCACTAATAAACAAATTATTGAATCAAGTTCTAGATTTCACTGAACTGATAACTTGTAAATAAATATAAAAAGTAAAAAAAAAATTGATCATCACGAAATACACATCACGACTCAATTTAGATAAAATTTAACTTATAACAGTAGTTTCGCCAACAAATAAACTAATGAGTTAAACTTTGAATTACAGCGAACTTAGCACCTATAAACAAAGTAAAAAAATTAAAAGAAATTAAGTATTACGAAACATACATCATAACTCGTTAAAACGAAATCTAATTTAAACAAATTAATGAATTAAGCTCTTAAGTTTTACTAAACTCGTAACTTTTAAATAAAATATAAAAATTTTAATGGTTTGAAAATATATGGGATACATTAATATGAAGGGAGGAAAGTGGTGATCTTGCATAATAATTACATAAGCAATAAATTGGTCTCCACAAAGTCAATTGCAGATGTTAGTATGTACCGAGTGTAAACTCTTTTTATTATTTGTCCATTCATTTTTATAAATTTTATCATGCAATCGTTATTCTGAATTTATATCTGATACTCATTTATCTTAATTAATATTTGAGATGTCAGGTGTGGTATTAGAATTAGAGCGGAATTTCGCATATCAAATCCCTTGGCTCGAGGCCTTAGTTAGATGAACCCTTACCCAAACCATACCTCTATCTGCCCAATCACAACCAACCACTTCAAATCTCATATAGATATATATATATATATATATGTATGTATATACACATTTTAAAACTATCATACCAATTATTCTTTGATTCCATGGGTAATAATATTATGTCATATTGTGATTTTGAGTTATGAAATGTTCACATTGTCTGTTTTTCTTAAAAAAAAAATAAAAAAATTATGTCCTTATAATTATACAATGGAAGTGATACTATCTATTGTCGTTACAATTTTATTTAATTTATTTTTTATTAAAATTTTT